ATGTAAAGGTACAATTCCCAATGAGAAATGTAATTGTGTTGTATACCTACAATGTACCAATAAAAGAATTTAATAAAAAAAAAATTCTCCATTTTGGGTCTATACACAAAATGCAAATTTTAATAAACCATGCAGAAGCTCTTGGCCAGATTAGCATGAGAAATGTCTAATATTAGATTATGCAGTTAACTCTCCATCACCTTCTATTTCCTGTTCATTCAAGAGGGAAAAAGAAGTTTTTGCGCTTTTTTCAAGCCCTGTTTTTTTACTATATGTGTGTGTGTGTGTGTGTGTGTGTGTGTGTGTGTGTGTCTCTCTCTCTGTGTGTGTCTCTCTCTCTGTGCCTATGGTTGCTGACCAAACCACTAAGTTCAAAACTTCAGTTTTTACTTCAATAGCGTCTGATGGATTCAGGGGAAGAGCTGGGGTTGGATTTCTTCGTGCTAATATTGCTTTTATTCTGACTTCGGTGTTGAAAACCAGGACATAATTTCTTTACTGGTAGGTTCTTCTCTTTCTTTTTAGAGAAAAGCTCTGGGCATTTAAACAGAAAGGAAGTTAAAGAGCTGCAGTCAGTAGTTAGTCTGTTTGTATGCAAGTGACTGTACTGTACTGTTCTGTCCCAAAGAGCAGGGACAGGACATGGGTTCCATGTGCTACAGGAGCAGGGAGACTTTTATAGAAGGAAGACAAGCTGTGAGCTACTGTCCCTTACCACTCAATGGTCAGTTTCTTACCACCCTCTAAAGTTTCCTAAATTCTATGGAAATCTTAGTTTTTTAAGGTAACCTTTGTTCTAGTAGAATTTATAATTGTGTTAAGATTTACAAAATTAAAAGTTAAAATCTTCTATCTTATTGGTGAAGAAATAAAGACTGAGATCAGAAGTAAGCAACTTCACATTTCTGTACCTCTGTCTCTACTGTGAAATGAAAGGCTGAATTATGTATCCACGAGGTTCAAGTGTCTATGATTTATCAATTAGCGAACCATATTTGTCAAAATAGAATTCTAATACAAGGACCACCTGAGTTAATCCTACCCTTTAAGATTCGAGTGATTCACTGGTCATTCGAGAGATGCAAATGAAAACAATGCTGAGA